CCGCCGCCGCCTCGGAGCTGCGCCTGGGTTGGCCCGGCTGCCCCGGGGGACTGGTGAGTGTGAGGGAGGGGCGGGCCGGCGGGGCGCTGGGCTGCTGCCGGAGACGCGGGCGTGCGGGCGCAGCTTCCAACGGGAGAAGGCAGGAGAGACCGGATGGCGTCTTTTAAACCGAAACGCTGCCTTCGTTTTCTGGCGGGATTGCGGCCCCCCTCCCCCATCGCGAAGGCTGTTGCACCCCTTGCTGAGGACGCCGCCACCCTGGCTTTCCTCGGCCCCCTAGTGCTTTTTTCCGTAGGCGCTTTAATGTCGGGGCTTGGGAGTCCCCGCTAGTCGCCGGGCCTAGGTGTGGGGGTGCGTGGAGCGAGGGTGGAGACGCCTGGGGCCCCGTGGCGGCTCCTGCTCGGCCCCATCGACGGGCACGCCCTGCGGCGCCTGGGCTCCGACGCCCATCGGTGCCACGCTGGCCCTTCGGCCCCTCCAGGCGGCATGGGGACCCTCCGGCAGCGCATCCGCGTGCTCGCGCCCCTAGTCGCAGCCGCAGCAAGAAGGCGTCTGTCCAGTCGCTCAGGACTCCAAACTTGAGTCTAAGCAAGCCGCTCTTCAGGGTGCTTATACACACACCCCTTTTCATTTTGTTTTTCAGTACAATTTAGGGACACGAGTAATTTGAAGCAGTTTATCTCTTTGCAAAGAGCTAAAGACTGGTAACATCAGCAAAGACTGACAATAAGTTGGACATATAAGCGGGTTCTACTTCAAGCTCTCCTGCAACGTTTTTGTATACATTTTGTATACATTCTTTTAAAATCTGGAAAACATACTTATTTTAAAATGAAGGTGAAAAGAACGTGCTTTTAAAACTCTTTAATATAAAAATGCAGCTTTTATTGTAAATGCTTGTTTTGTATTTATACCAATTAAGAAGAGAATATTTACATTGCATGAAAGGCCTTTAAAAAGTTCTATTTAATGTCATTGCCGACTGCCTATTATGTGTATGGTCTGTTTTGTACCTAGACGTTCTTATTGTTGAAAGAGACAGGTGGAAAGTTGCTGACATGTGTTTTGTAAGTTGCTTTTTTAAATTAATGTTTTGTGTGGCCTGATCTCATTTTTGTAAATGTAAAATGTATATTCATATCTTAGCATAGGATGATGTCTAATAGTCTATACTTCAAAATGTTAACTGATTTTTCAGGGCGAATAGATTCTACGTGATTTGATTAATTTAGGGTGGGGTTTTTTTTTTTTCTAATTTTCCTTCAGTGACATGTATTACCGCTGTAGTTTGCTTTTAAGTGGGGAAGGGGGAGTGAATGATAAGCTGCATGAGATTCAGAATCTTCCATACGAGAGGAGAACTAGAGAACAAATGTTTATATGACGTCTCTAAAAAGCCAAACTTCTTCATTGGCGCCGTTATGCATGCAAAAAAGCATATAAAAACATTTGCTGAAATGAAGGATGGGTAGCATTTTTTATCTTGAGTGCGCATTTTACCATCTCGTCCTGGTCAGGGTGATCCTATTCCTTTCACCTGATGGTCTGAATCCAGGCCAGTTTGCAACATTAATTTTTATGCCATGCTTGGTTTCCTTTTCTTTTTTATTCTTCATGTTTGAAAGAATTTGAAATGTATGCTCAAATAACAAGAGGCTACTTTAACCTGCTCTGCTGACAGTTTTCAGTGTTCTCCCTGAAACTTGTGGAGCATTTCAAACGTGAAGTGTAAAGCTTTTGGCTGTATAAATTCTGGAAGTGTACAAAAGAAGGATTAGGATTAAGTCTTGACATTTTAGTTTATTACATAAATATAAAAACTTTTTTTTTTGGATGCACTTGATTGGGATGGGCTCAAGAAATTATATTTGTTTAGTTAAGGCATTATATATCGATAACATTTCTGTAAGTCTGGTTGTCAGTTTCTTTGGATGATTTCCTTCCCCTCCTCCCAGTGAGTGGCTGAGTAAAAACTGGAAGCAAGATGTAACTTGCTTGTAATAGTGATTAGCAGTGGTTTGTTTATTCACACAGTTGTTTGAAATCCGGGAGTCAGAAAACATGCATTTTCATCTCTGATTCTGCCATTTAGTTGACTTGACTTTCACTGACTCTCTCCTCATCAGTAAAATTGGGGTGGATTTAGATAGTAGCTCTTCTATGTACCTCATGTGATTGTTGTGATAGTAGCCCCTCTAAGTACTTCACAGAATTGTTGTGAACACCAAGTAAAATAAGGGTTAAGAAGACGCTCAATAAACTAAAAAGCACGATCTTAGTACCATATGATCACATCACCTGTAGCACTGATATACCCAGAACGTAATGAAGCAGCAAAAATACTGGGTTGTCGGAAAAGTCATAACATATTTTTTCTATGTTTTTTGTTGCAAAAATGCGTCATGACTTTTCCAACAACTCAATGGTATGTGCACCTCTTAATTCCTCACCACTAGAAATGGATGGTCTTAGTAATGATGCGAAGTTCTGCTTGTTGTGTATATCACCTTATAAGAAAAGCAGCATATAAAACTGATGGAGAAAACCTCTTTTTCTGACATTCCTTCCTTGCCCACTACTACAGTGGAAAGAACACTAATCTGAAATGGAAGAGGTAGTTCTGTTTCTGACACTAATCTGTTACTTGAATTGGGTGATCACTTTATTTCTCTGTTTCCAAAACTTGGGCTTTAAAATTGATTAGAAATTTATTTGTTCAAATCCCAACCCTACCACCTATTAAGTATCCCCTTGACTTTACTATGCCTCAGTTTCTGTGTCAATAACAAAATATTTTGAGAGAGTGTTGTGGATTTTGTATATCATAGGATTAAATAAGATACAGTATGTGCACAGTCTAGTATATAGTTAGTGATCAATAAGTGATTTTAATTATACTATTGGTAAATAATCTGTGAGGACTTAAACAGTTAAAAGTCTGTGGTTTGGTGTTTGCTTTCATATTTGCTTTCATCAAGACTGAATAAATTAATGTAGATTTATATTCTTATTTTGGTGTTAAGATATAGCTTTAGAAAGTAAATTCATTTCAAACATGACATTTACATATACTCTCATATTTGTCACTATAAACATTTTTAATAATACAGTATGTTCAAAAGGATATTATACTTGAATTAATTTTGTATAACTTTCTAATTGATTAAAGATCTTGGTAACATTGTATTCTTGAATCTCAGAAATGAACTACATTTTTGCTTATATGACTTCTGTCATGTTTTCCTACAGGCATTTTTTACCACTTGTGAAAACTTCGCTGTAATTCATTTTTCCTCACTCCCGTATTAAGAATTATATCAAGTAAGTGGAAAGTGGTAAAACGAATGAGTCAATTTTATAACAGTCCATGAGAATTTAATTGTACAATGATTGCCATACCTATTTTGTTCTCAATAGAATGTTGAATGTGACCTAATAAGAAAAGGATTTTTTCTTGAAAATTGTATTTTGAGCTATGTGATAAGTATTTTTGCTGAAAGCCAGGTTATCAGTACAGATTTGTGAAAATATTTTAAGGGAGCATATCCACCTTTTGCTTGAAAACTATCAAAATACTCCCAATTATAAGAAATGTAACTATTTTATTCTTAATATGGTGCCATAGGCTCAATTTCTTTTTTATAAAAAAATAATTTAAGCATAAGGCTTATTGTAATTATCCAGTTCTCACAATTACATCAACATTTGAAAAAGAATTCTTAACCTCACTAAGAAAGAAAACAGAAATTGGTGTCTTGCCTTTAAACTTGATCAGAAAAATCCAAACTATAAACAGGTGTTTTTTTGGTGGTGTTTTTAAAATATTTTATTGGGGAATTGGGGGGGGGGCAGTGTTGGAGAATTGGGGAAGGAGAACAGCCAAGTTGTTGTCCTTCAGTCTTTGTTGTGGAGGGCGCAGCAAGCTCAGCTCTTAAGTCCAGACGTGCTGTTCAGCTCAATTACTTGTAGGTGGGGGTAGCCACCATCCTATGTGGGAGTCGAACCAGCATTCTTGTTAAGAGTGCACGCTCTATCCACTGAGCAATCCGGGCGACAGCTCAGCTCAAGGTGCCAAGTTCAGTTTTTAGTTGTGGGTAGTCCACATCTCAAACAGGCAGTCTTGTTGTTAGGAGCACATGCTCTCACAAGCTGAGTCATCCTGCCACCTGTTGGCAGCTCAGCAGCAGCTCAGTTCAGGCGCATCTCACTGGCCCATGTGGGAATCGAACCAGCAACCCTGTTGCTCAGAGTTCGCACCCTTAAGCAAGCTCTTAACCAACTGAGCCACTCCGCCGGCCCCAGAGGTATTTTTTTTAACATTTCTCTTATGAAGTCGATTTTCATGTGACACACAAAATTCATACTGCCAATAAATTCTTAGGTTAGAAGGAATTTTTATAACAATATTAACTAGTTATTTGTGACATTTTTAATTTTTTTCCATTTTTAGATTGAAAAGATATGAATGAATATCCTAAAAAAAGAAAAAGGAAGACTTTACACCCTTCTCGTTATTCAGGTTAGTGAATTATTTTAAAGTTGGGCTGTGGATTAATTTCTATGCAATTATATTCCCATTGATTTTCTCATAAATGATGATAAGAAATACCTGGGTCAATTTTTAGGTAGAGAAAACTTTAAATACATCATCTGAATATGTATTCTTCATTGTCTACCATGTGCTAGGCACACATCAGAGCTGACAGACATTATTTAACCCCTACAACTTCATGGTTTATAAATATTTAAAAGTAGATACCCAAGGTCGCATACTTACACAGCATAATTAGGATTTGCTTATGTGCTTCCCAAGCTTGTGCTTAATACACAATCATAACCTTGTTGGAAGATTCTTTGCATCATTGGGGTAAAATATCTTTATCCTGTACATTACTTTCAGAAATAAGAACTTCCATTTTGATTGTGTAATTTTAGATCTTTTGTTTGAGGCTGGCTCTGCTATCTTGGCAGTACTAAGGAGAGAGGTCTTTGTGGCTATCTATAACTCATATACCTCACATACGTTTACTTGGGGCAGTCCCAATCATACCTGTTAGTCCACAACCTACACATTCTTCCTGTCTGAGGAAATTAAGCCTGGCTTACTGCTTACTGGCCCCTCCCAGGCAAGACTTGAAATGACTATATTCAGAAGCTCTAACTGGCCCTCAGACCATTTTCTCTGTGCATTATGCTTTCTCTGCACTATATGGCATATCTTCTTGGTAGTTAATTCACTGTTTTTTTGCAGAATACTTTGTATAAGTACAAAGTATTTATACTTTGTGGCATTCTGACAGTAAATAAAATGTATCTGTGTGCACCACAGTATCTTGTATTGTATAATTTGTGATTCTTTCAAAGCTCAATGTTAATATTATATCTGAAATATAAAAGCTATCATAATTGAAGGAAATATTAATACTTTATTGCAAATACTATGAAAATTTATATATGTTAGATAAAGGGATGGCTGTCATTTAATGTATGTATGTATGTTGGCTTGAAAATTTTTAAATTTTTTTTGTTCAGATTCCTCTGGAATAAGCAGAATTGCAGATGGATTCAATGGAATTTTTTCTGATCATTGTTATAGTGTCTGTTCTATGAGACAACCAGACTTAAAATATTTTGACAACAAAGGTATATCTTATATTTTCCAAAATATTTTTAATTGCTTTTATATATTATTTCTTATTTGAAAATGATGTTATAATTTTGAAATGGGCGAGTGTTTAAATTTGTTTAAATGCAAGAAAACAAAAGTGTTCTTTTGTAAGAAAGCAATTAAGTGAATTTTAATTTTTAGAATTCTTTCAGATATATAAGTAAAAAGCGCATTTTCCTAAATACATTTTAGTTGGCTAGGAATTGGTGGCAAAGCAGAAGTGACCCAGAATTGGGAGCATTTGTAGTGAAAGGTTAAGCATGTTATATACGGTTCATCCACTCAGCTATACCTTTCAGCCTGGAGGGCTAATGGAAAGAAAGAATAAAGGATGAAGGATTTGGTCTTTTTCAGTCTTCTCATCCTCTACTGACTTCTCTTTTCTCCATTGGGTGAATGATAACAACTTGCATTTGTTTTCTTCTTCCTCTGAAACCATCAAAATCCCAAATTCCCTTGAGTTCCTGTTACAGATACAGAAACAGAAATTATTTAAAAAAAAACAGATGAAGTCAGAGACATCAGTACAAACTCATGTTTGGTTTAATATAAACAGATGGTTACATAACAAAAATATTTATAAGTATGTCTATAAATACACGGCAGTATACACAAATATTTTTTGCTCTGTTAGTTGAGAGAAATGACACCCCTAAAAGAAATGACACTCCAGTAGCAGTGAGCACATCTAGTGTCCAGATCTTGGTTTTTAATACTGTTTTCCAATAAAAGGAACTAGGGCTTCTTGGAGAAATGGCTGATTCTAGTTCTGGGGCAGGAAATATACAAGATGAGCCTAAAGTATCCTATAGTGCCAGAAAATACGGAAGTACTCAAAACGCTCACACGCAAACACTACAGGTATGCCAAAGGAGCACAGGAGCCAATTAAAAGAGCTCCCAATAGCCAAAGCTGAAACAATTTGAGGGGGAACATTGAATTATAACCCAAAGTATAAAACAAATAGCCATGAGTCTATACTAATATAAATAAATGATTGAATAAATAAATGAGAAGAAACAAATCTCTTGTACAGAAGAATCCCAAATTAAAAGTCTGTTAAAACAACGACATGTTGAAATCCAGTTTGCTGTATGGACCTGTATTTCAGCTTCTCCCTGCTAACTTGACAACACTGCATCTGGGCTGAGAATAAAGGCTCATTGAAACTCAGTAATTAAACTTAAAGTTCCTAAGTAATTTTGAAAAGTGTGTTCTAGTCCAGGGGTTGGCAAGCTGTGGCTCGCAAGCCACACGCAGCTCTTTGGGTACATACACGGCTCTGAAGTAAAATTGAAAATGAAAACTACCATAGTTTCATTTATAAAATTTTTAAAGGGTATTATTCACATAATGGTGATTTCATTTGTTTTATGACTCTCCAATAATTTTTAAATTGTTGTGAGGAACAGATTGGCTCTTCCATCTCAAAAGTTTGCTGACCCGTGTTCTAGTCCAACTGGGGCATGGAAGCAAAAACAGTTACTTCTTTGGACAGACTTTCTGTGTGTCTGTGATATATATAACCTCTTTTCATGGCTAAATCTAAGCCCTTAGTTCCTGTTAGAATTCAAAATTATACATAAAATATGTGGTGCTTTGTGTTATAATTAATGTTTAATGCTTTGATATAAATAATAAGTGTTTTTCAAAATTTCTTTTTACAGATGATGATTCTGATACAGAGACATCAAATGACTTGCCAAAATTTACAGACGGAATCAAGACCAGAAACAGAAATCAGAATTATCTTGTTCCCGGTCCCGTACTTAGAATCCTAGACCACACTTCCTTTTCTACAGGTTAGGGAAACTAAATAATAGCATTTGCGTATTTTGTATAGATGAATGATGAAATAATGCATAAAATAATTTTTTTGCCAGTTATTTAATAGGTCTTACAATAATGGGCTTGTTTGATTTTTCAGAAAAATGTACTGATATTGAAATCTGTGATGAAGAGTGTGACTCACCTGAACCAGTCCACCAGCAAACCCAAGAGGAGAGCCCTATAGAAGTTCACACTGCTGAAGATGTTCCAATCGCTGCAGAAGTGCATGCAATTTCTGAAGATTATGATATAGAGACAGAAAACAATTCCTCGGAAAGTCTCCAAGACCAAACTGAGGAAGAGCCACCAGCTAAACTTTGCAAGATTCTTGACAAGAGCCAAGCTTCGAATGTGACTGCCCAGCAGAAATGGCCTTTACTGAGAGCTAATAGCAGTGGCCTCTATAAATGTGAACTTTGCGAGTTCAACAGCAAATACTTTTCTGATTTAAAGCAGCATATGATCCTGAAGCATAAGCGTACTGATTCAAATGTGTGTCGAGTATGCAAGGAAAGTTTCTCTACCAACATGCTTCTGATCGAACACGCCAAACTGCATGAAGAGGATCCCTACATTTGTAAATACTGTGACTATAAGACAGTCATTTTTGAGAACCTCAGCCAGCACATTGCAGACACCCATTTTAGTGATCACCTTTATTGGTGTGAGCAGTGCGATGTGCAGTTCTCCTCGAGCAGTGAACTCTACCTACATTTCCAGGAGCACAGCTGTGATGAACAGTACTTGTGTCAGTTCTGTGAACATGAGACAAATGACCCAGAAGACTTGCATAGCCATGTGGTAAATGAACATGCATGTAAATTAATCGAGTTAAGTGACAAGTATAACAATGGAGAACACGGACAGTACAGCCTCTTGAGCAAAATTACCTTTGACAAATGTAAAAACTTCTTTGTGTGCCAAGTATGTGGTTTTCGGAGTAGACTTCATACAAATGTTAACAGGCATGTTGCTATTGAACATACTAAAATTTTTCCTCATGTTTGTGATGACTGTGGGAAAGGCTTTTCAAGTATGCTGGAATATTGCAAACATTTAAATTCACATTTATCTGAAGGGATTTATTTATGTCAATACTGTGAATATTCAACAGGACAAATAGAAGATCTTAAAATTCATCTAGACTTCAAGCATTCAGCTGACTTACCTCATAAATGTAGCGACTGCTTGATGAGGTTTGGAAATGAAAGGGAGTTATTAAGTCACCTTCCGGTCCATGAGACAACTTGATTATTCTCTTTAACTTCATAATGTTAATGTAAAATAATAAATACGACTTTTTTTGGAGATGTTAAAATGGATTATTTTAAACACAATTTATGAGAATTGCCTTAAGATTTTTTAATTGTCCAATTTTCTTGGCATTGCTACATTTTTCAGCATATGGTTGTATACTAAATGTAGTATGTTCAATGCATGGTAGTTCATAGTTTTAACCTCTCGGTGACTAACATCCTGTTTCTTGCATGCGCTCCGATTTAATGAATTGATAGGAAACAGATGTACTAAAGAAACTATTTTTATTTCTGTAACCATAGGTGCTATTAACTGTTTTAAACTCAAAACAAGCTCAGTTTTTCATATAGAAAGTCATTAAACTGTTGCACTACCAGCATTAAAATGCAGCATAATGTACAATAAGTCCACCAATACTCCCATTTTAATAACCCAGACCCTTCCTTTGCATTCTCCATCAGTAATTATCCCCACGTCAATCACTGGACTCTCCATCTGTGTGATTCTTTTTTTTTTAGTTGAGCCATCCTGCCCCACCTGTTGGTAGCTCAGCTGCAGCTCAGCTCGGGCCAGAATCAAACTGGCGACCCTGTTGCTCAGAGCTCACCCTCTTGAGCAAGCTCTTAACCAACTGAGCCACTTGGCCGGCCCTTGTGTGATTCTTTTAATAACACTAGAAGGCCAGTGTAATAGAAAAGATCTGGTTTTCTTGGCAGTCTTTTTTTTTTTTTTAAATCATCACTTTATTTTAGCCCCTGTATATGTGTTACATAATTTAAGGTGTCGGTGGGGAGGAACTGGTAAGGGATTGGACAATGAGGAAGTAATATTTCATAACTCTTAACCTGTTCGCATTTCATTTTCAGTTATGCAACTGCAAAGTCATGCCCAAACTTCTGACGACAAATCATTTATTGACCTGAAGTATTAATTCTGAATTGGGAAGATGTGGTAGCTAAGGGGCTGCTAGCATGATAATGTATAAATTACTTTTGATAATGGTAAAATAATCTTAGCTTCTATATTAGTTTCCTCTGGCTGCCATAACAAAGCACCACAAACTGAGTGGCTTAAACAAATTTTTATTTTTTTGAAATTTATTGTCTCAGTTCTAGAGCCTAGAAGTTCAAAATAAAAATGTTAGCATAGTTTGTTCCTTCTGAGGGTTGAGAGAGAAGGATCTGTTCCCCGCCTTCCTCCTTGGCTTATAAATGACCATCTTTACGTTCGTATGGTGTTCTCCCTGTATGCAAAGCTGTCTCCATATTTCCCCTTTTTATAAGGACACCAGTCATATGGATTAGAGCTGACACTAGTCATATGAATTAGGGCTCACCCCAATGTCTATTTAGTAAAGACAGTACCCTCAAATAAAGGTCACATGAAGAGGTACTGGGGCCCAGGACTTCAATATATGAATTGGGGGGGAGGAAAGGAGAGACACAACCACAAAAAACAGCTTCTAAATAGAAGGATAAAAAAGATAGAACTTCGTGTATCAGTGGCCTCAAACAATACTGAAGCTCACAAACAATATTGTTTGGGAATAAAGATATAGTTGAAACCAATTTATAACCTATGATTTTCCCACTTCAAAAACCATGGGAATATATGCTATTTTAAGAATGGTGACAAAATATTTTCAAAACCAATCATTTTTATCTACTGTTTTGTCATACTTGTATACGCATACCTGTATTCCTAGAAACTATCATTCCATCTGATTGAAACTTTCCAGGTAGGGAGGGCTCTCTGATACAAATGTTTCCTAGAAGACTTAACATTATAATAGTTTAAATTAGAAGAGAACCTTAGAAACCATCTGGCCTAAATTTTTTTGGTTTTCTAAGCTTCTTGTAGAAATAGAAACTTAGGTTGTTTTTAGGTCAAGGTCACAAAATCATTATAGCAGACAGGAGTGAATCCAAGTTACTTGGCTTCCAGTCTAGGGATGTTTCCATTACACCATGTTACATAAAAATCTAAGCTTTGTCCTTGAGATGTTTTTCGATGACTACTTAGTTGTCCAGCTGCTTTTTTGGTAATTATTTTTATACTTTTTTGATACACATCTATCTCCAAGAACTTGATTTTCAGGAAACAAACCTTAAGTAATGCCTTGTATTTTATTTTTTAATGCTGTATTTTATTGCTTTACATTTCATCAGGTGTTAGTAATCAAATTAACAGTACTGTAATGAAACTAAAAAGATTAAATCCAAGTTTTCAAAACATAATTTTGTACTTTTTGAAGAATCTGCAGCTTGAGGCAACATCCCACTGACAATGTGTCCGATAAAAATTTGTGGCTTTGACTCAGCTTTCAAATAAATCTGACTGACTATAAATTGCTGAGGTAGCTGGTTTATATTTTTAGCTTAACGAACCTCTTTGGAAAAACAAACCTACCTAAAAAGAAATTTTCCAACTACTTCGGTTTTTTTTTTTCCTCTCATTCCCACTATATTTCCACTATATTCTTTGTGACTTGAACCACAATTCAAGTGTGAGAAAACAAGTGATAATGATGTTTATTAGCACTACAATAGAATTCTTGGCAGCAGTGAACAGTAGTGACAGGTCATTTTTTTTTTCTTGCTATTTTTATCTTCATCTTGTAATGAGTTACTGCTTTTGAAATTCCAAAGCATTTCCTCTGTACTCCAAAATTTCAAAGTGACTGTGCACTACTCAACAGCCTCTCCTCTTCCTACTTGTTAATTTGCCAGTTTTACCATTTTTAAATCATCTTAGATTTCTCTGAATGTATGACATCACACATTAACCAGTTCCTCAGTTTCACTGGGCCTATAGTGGGTTGGTAGGTGATTGCTGAATTGTTGGCAGATATATATAGGATTTTTTTTTCAATAGCTTAATACTATTCCTAATTTTTGAATCCGACTTACAAAGCATTGAATTGCTTAATTCCTGGCACTTTACCATTAACTTACACTTTCCTCGTTTTGCCAATCATACTATCTTCTGCAACTAGTTTAATATAAAGCCCAAACTATCGTGATTAATTTTTTAATGGAATTGTAATGCATAAAAAGCACTATAAGTTATGTAAATCTGAAAAAGCTAATAAAAATCAAGTGGCCACAGTCTTCTTGGGAAGCGGATTGACTTACCAAAAAAACCAATACTCATTAAGAATTTAAGTGAAAATAAATATTAAAGCTAAATGTTAATCCCAATGGAGAAGCAAATTTGGTTAGGTTACTCCACAATTAAGTCTCATCATTATAAATTAAAAATAAAATTTTGCGTGTAACTTTCAATTCCGATAACTGAAGATGCAAAGCATCTAAAGAATGAGATTGAGTTTATGGACTGACAAAAATGCCTTATATTGGTTTAGCTTTCCAAAAAAAGTTTTAAGACATTAAAATCTAAGAAAAAATATGTACATTTGTGGTGTAAAATATAAATTCACAAAGCTAAAAGTCACATGTAATTTACATGTTTATATGAAGTTATATGTTCAATTTGTAAGTTGAAAAATTTTAAGAGCCTATCAGAATTGTTTGGAGTCTACTTTATACTAGTGGTTTAAAAAATAATTTTCTGGATAAAGACTACTTCATACTAGTGGTTTAAAAGATAATTTTCTGGATAAAGCACGAATCACCACAACTTCCTTATTAAGTTCATTCTCCTTAGTCACTACCTGAACCCAAAATAAATCACAGTTGTGAAAAGTAATTCACTCATTTTTAAAAAAACAATTTTCTCACATTGCTAAATAGGAATATTGTATTATCTACTAGTCTTATTCCCATACTTTAAGAGAAATGATTATTTAGACAGCTTTGAAAAGGAATTTTTGTTATCACAACCTTTGAAAGTTTGCTATTTTTGGCTTTAAATAGGCAAATAAATATAACCTGGATAACCTTTTTTCTTGCTAAAAATATTGAGCTGAATAAATTATATCCTGGAAAAATTTAATGAAAAGTATGTCTTGAATGAAAACACAAAAAAACAAAGTTTTTTAGTTTTTAATATCTGATCCAGATAGTGTCCACTACTGAAAAACATTACAGTTGGAAATAATGGACACTTTTGCCCTTGCTTTTCAGAGTAAGCTGAGATCAGGAATTGGAAACATACCCATCAAAAGTAATTTTTGGTGGGTAATTGTTTTTGTTTTTTTTAATCCTCTGCCTAGTGGCCATTCACCATGCTGTTCTGAATTTTCGTTGGCTGAAACTAAGAATATGGAATTCCCTTTTCCTGTCTACCTTGTTCATTTTATTTCGGGTTACCTGTTTATGGCATTATTCATGTTTCTAAACCATAGTCCTCAAACTATATTCTATGGCTAATTGCCCTCATCTTTGCAACTCTTCCTCACCTCATGTGGGTCTTCAAAGTCTCAAGAGATTAAAAGGTTTCCCAATTAAGATGAGAGTGGATTTTAAAAAAAATTCTTCCCTCTATTCTTTGAACTGTGTTAAAATATACACCATATACCATATTACTTGCTTTTATAGCCTGTAAATATGTATTCCTGTCTAACAGTTTGTGCTGAATTTATAAATTGCAATGTGTCTTTTAAGCAGAATATCATGGCACAGATCTTACTAAGCAATTCTTTATGGTTACAAGAGTATGGTTAAGTTCTTTACAGCACTGATCCAATGTGCTTTAGTGAACAACTAAAATGCTGAAGTAAAGAAACTAACCTAGAATGACAGAATGTTAGTTTGGGAGGGACCTCAGAGATCATCTAATCCAGACTCATAAAAGTACACAACATATATAAATAATTGTATACGGCACATAGCTTTATTTTCATGGTTGTAAATTGTATGTTGTAAAATATAATGAGCACATCAAATATGATTCATGTATATTTTTACTCAGGACAAAACATTTTTTAAGAAAACAAATTGATTTAAAGAAGAACATGAAGTAAATAATGACACATGGACATGGAAAAAATTGGGTAGGTGATACATGAATGACTGAAATTTGAGAATACAAAATTCTGATTAAACTTATTTATAGCTTAGAAAAATGGTCTATTACATCATTTAGTCAAATACTGTTTAAGCTAGAATAAACCGGATTTACACCTCCCCCCCACCACTTTTCAAAGACTTTTCTTTAGAAAAAGTTAAAATGTACCCTATTTTGTTTTAATGGAATGTCCTAGCAGACATCTAAATGATGCATTAGAGTACTGGACCAAAGCATATATGACTGATTTCTAATCCCTGTTTGCTAAATGTGTGACTGTACCCGTGGACAATGGGTGTAATGTCACTAAATTTTTCTCAAATAGTCCATGGACTCTTTGCAACTCTTTAAAAACTTCCATTTCACTACTCTTCCAATTTAACAGCTATGGAATATCTACTATCAAGCCATGTATTTAGGGATACAGGGATAAATAA